CCGGGAACGTTCCTTATGATAATAAATACATATAAAGTTCATGTAGGTACATAATATATATTATACCTATACTCTATAGGCATAGGTACATATTGTGCCGGTTTCAAACAGACGTTATAATATTATTAAATTATTGATTTTTTTCCACTACACAGTACACGATGTCTCGCGAGTCTGCCGTGGCGCCGGCGAAGGGTTTCGAATTTGAATATTCACCTATATACGTATACACCTATAATACAATATCACGATATTATGATGTATAGGTACGACGAATTTGGCAAACAACGGTGTATATTATTATAATATCATATTGCGTTTGGCGTGTAAATAACAATATCATACGTGGGTGAGTAGGTGTAGGCTAGGTGGTAGGCACCTAGTGGTTGATGCAAGTAGCTGTGGTATACCTCGTCGCGACCATGATTAAGATTCGCGAGCCAAAAGTGTACTTGRAAAATACCTATTATTCCGTCCAAAAATTTACGCCAGCCCTTCTACTTATGATGGGATGGGGGGTAGAGGGGAAATACCCTCTGTGCTCACCAACATACTGCTGCAGAATCKATACCATAACGACGCATTATAAATATACGACTACAAAAAGCATATAATTATACATTTAGAAAAAAAATATATCGATTGGTTGGATTGCACTTTATATATTATTTTAGCAGCTCGATATCTCTAACTAGGTATCGATATAGTGCCAATCTTCTCTAATAGATACTCAATTTGGTGTAAATTACAAACGCTGTTTTCAACTATTTTTACCGACGGTGATGCAAATTACAAACTCCCATAAAAAATCACAATAATCATATCGACAACTCTGAGTAATTTTCTATAAAAACCGATCGAAAACAATTATGGTTAGGTCTATAATATGATTTAAAATTTACCAATAATGGTGGCGTTGGACTTGTGTTTACTTTGTTCGAACGTCTGTACGAATTATATGCCTGGTTATTCATCAACCAACATGGTAACCACCCTCCCCCTTTTGCAGTTTTGTATTTAAAATTTGATTTTCGAAATGTTTAAACAAGGATCATCATRTTCCTTTAGATATTTTGTACCATTTAACGACAGTCCTGTGGAGATATACACTTCTCAATTTCAGAACCATTCWTTTTTTTTCAATTGTTCACATTTATTTCACTTATTCAGTGAATAATTTTTTTTTTTTTCGAAAATTTGACCTATCAGAATCGAAATCCATACCAAYAGTTTATGAGTTATTTATGATAAAAACATTTCCATGGTTTCATGAGATATATGAGGGCTATATAAGTGATTTGAAAAATCGCTCATCGATATTAATCCATTATACATTTTATTTTCTGACTCGTAAGAAATGGTCCAAGTGTAAKAATGACTGTCTGATATAATTTAAACATTATATTTTTTCAAAATATCCATTGAATTTCTCATAGCCAAATATYGTTTGAAAAACAAGAGTTCGTCGTCGAACTTTCCGTTCCTGGTTAACGGTATACAACAAATTTCGAAACTTTGAAAATAATTGTCCCAAAGCATATTTTCCAAAATTATAATTCATATCGAATCATTATGTCGGAGRAAAATATATTGATAATGGGGTTGAGCATGGTCAATTGTATAATATACTTATAATATGCATACTGTGTATACCATTCGTGGTGCCCCTCCCCCCGCCAACTCACCTATACTTACGGCCTACCCACATAATAATAATAATATATTACACGCTCACGCCGCGCAGATCGTTCGACAATAACTACATCATGCAGACTTTTCCAATCGCCTGTATATGGATGAAGCACATAAAAGCATTCCTGGGCGCGAACAGGCATACATACGATACCGCAAGCTCTACCTATACGTGAACTGTGAACATAACAAAACAATATAATATTATAATTCAATAGGTATTACACGTACATTATATACCTACGTCGTATATCATATTATAAGTCATAACCATTAACAATTAAACGTCACATTGTGTCATACATTACATTATTGTTGTTATTACTACCTAATATTACAACTGTATATTATTATTATTATTATTATGCTAATCCGTTTTTCTCTTTTCTTTCTTTTTTCATGCAAATTTCAGGACTGAAATGTGAGTATATCAGTAAATCTATTTAGCGAGTGTGTTTTAGTGTACATTGTAGTTATTACAATAATAATATTATATATTATTGTTGTTGTTGTTGTTGTATGCGCATTCGTTGTCGATTGTAATGCAAACGCACGCGTAGTACATAATCATTATGTTATATTATTATTATGTATGAGTGAGTAGTATACACGCGCTAGTAGTAKTTAAACTATATGTAGTTAAACCTTTTCTTTCTTTCTTATTTCCAAGACGTGTCGACAGAACAATATAAAGAGATACTGTCACACGCATCGTCACTGCAGCAATTATTGACGTTAATTTAAGCGATGGGCTAGGCCACGCGTAGGTATAGGTACGTGAAGTAAACTGCACCTCCATCACTTCAAGCCAATGACTTAAAATCGGTGTCRATAATTTACCGCTGATTTGCAACGTCAATTTCTGAAATTTGAAATGTTACCCTATCTCCGAAGAATCCGATTACTCGATGAGGGGGTGGCGAGGTGGCATGTTTTGCATCAATTTTAGTACCTYCAGTAAAACCTCTTTATAACGGACACTCTATTTAACGGAATCCTTCTTATAAACGGAAAATGTAAATAGCCCCGGTGTAAATAACATATGAATTTCTACCTCTCTAATAAGACGGAAAACTGTTTATAACGGAAAAATGTTTGTTCCYGTGCAATTCCATTATAGAGAGGTTTTACTGTATTATAATTTGCGCTACCTACGGTAGGTGCAGCACTCGAGTGCGTATGAAATCTTTGCCAAAATATTTTTATTTTTTTTTAAACTAAATGCAATTTCCGTATTTTTATGTTTTTTTTTTTTTCATTGACACTCAGCATTCCTCATCACTTGGTGATTTTCGGCTATTATTGGGTGCGTTTTTTTCAATCTTAGTAGGTCTCTTAGTAGGCCATTGGCTTTTGAGTCTTTAATAACAGTAGATTATCCGGAATTGAGACTGCATGAGAATTTGATTAATGGGTTACTGTGAGAGTTTAAATATTGGTATGAAATTTGAATTAATATAATTCGACTGATTGATGGAGGGCAGATGAATATTTATGTCCGTGAAATACCGAGAGGAATCATCTAAAGCGTTTCGGTATTAAAGGGCTTAGCAGGACTGAAATCCATAACTGAATACTTCGTATACTCAAAGTGATCGAATTATCAATTTATTATATTATATTATGATGATGAGTTTATTAGATAGATAGATAAAGAGAGGATAGAGAGGGTGAATGGATTTCAAGCGTGGATTAGGAGATGRAGTCAATATAGAATCGACTGTTTTACGGTTAAATTGTAGTTATGACGTATTGGCTGCAGGTTAGGCGAAGTTCATTTAGAGTTACAGACCAAGATGTTTAATTAATGATACAATTTATTTAATATTGCACCACACTCTTTATTTCAATTATTGCAACTTGCCTGATAAATTTACCAAACAATTGGATGATGAATTATGGGTACTATTATTCCTGATGTATGCATATTTTATTATTAACTCATTTATGCATAAAATATAAAATAGTATAATATTACCTTTTAAATATTTAATTTTATGCACGGAATGTATCAATGAAAATGAACTTTTCGATGATTGATTTAAAATACATATTGAGATGTTTAAAAACAAAATTATTATTAATTATTTTAAAGTGACACTTATTAACGAAATTAATTTTTATATGTAGTACTTATTATTATGTACTAAAAAATATTCAATTGTATTTATTTTGGTCCAAAAATTCCAGTTTAAAATTTATGTCATATATTTTTTTGAAATTGTAAAACTTGGAGTGACATAGTTAAATTTATCAATGCAATGCAAACTTATTCTCATATATTTTATACGTCATATTTATTATTATTTAAAAAAGTTTACTTATTTCTGACACTTAATAGTTAGGGCCCATGCGGGCGAATTTGCTTTAAATATTTACTTTTCCTCTGTCACACAAGTTCATTAAATAATATATGATATTATTAGATGTTCTTTTGTCGGAATCCATTAGCATAAAAGCTTAAAAATTAAATTAATAACTTTTGCGATATTGAAAATGAGCATTCACAAGCCATCAGACATAAAGTTTTGAAACAAATAGTAATTTTTATCATTATTATATTACCTTTGCCTTCTAGTAGGATTCCTACAATAGCTCTACAATTATGCACAGAAAAACAAATATTTAAATCACTGAAAGACCACAGGMAATAGAAATTATAGTTGAAAACTTAACTAGAGTTGAAAGAAGAGTGCACTTGAACGGAAACAATATAGCTATAAGGTTGATAAACATCACAAACCTAATATAATTCAAACATAATATAAGAGCGTCAAAAATCACACTTTGTTTTCWTYCCGAGAATTTTCTTAAGCTTTTGTTTCATCAATACAGACCTAATAATATATCTTAATCACATTCACATAATATATTATGAATCAATAGTAATGACTTTTTAATATTATTGCAAGTTTGAACGATAGAATTTTCGAAATTAGAAACAGAAATTATCGTTTCGACAGTGGCACCRCTTAGTATATTAATATATATTGACTACTTTCAAAATTAGAAATTTCAGCTCTTTTTCAGAATCCAATTAGTTAGGTAGATACAAGAGAGTTTGACGTTTTTCAATAGTTATTTTGTTTTAATAATATTTTATTTTAAGGATGAACTTTTCGAGCCATTTTGTATTCTGTAGCAGTCGTGTACACAAGATTTACTTTGAGAAATTATTTAAACATTTTATTATTTATATTTACATTTTCATTTAATTTCCTTCAGAAACGTTGCTCAATGCATTAATGGCGTCTTGGCTTCTTCTCGGTCGGATTTTATTTGTACATCAACTGAAATATTCTTCTCGCTACCTCCATCCGTTGTACTATTTTTTCTGCAGACATTTAATCAACAAAATTTAACTAAACCTACGCAGCAAACGACTCTATAATTATTTTTATTTATTTATTTTTCTAAGGATTCCCCGTAAACGTCGTCAGTAGTTTACTACGTTTTTAATGTCACATAAAGTGTACTATACACTATAGCTATAGGAAGAGGTTGGAACCTTTGTATTAGTTGTTGCACTCTTTTAATTTATAACTCTTAGTTTCTTATGTTCAACGGAAATTCAACGGATGCCTTGTATACCTAAAGTTGATTAAGATAAAAAAAATTAGATTTA